GTCTCCACAACGTAGAAGAGAAGGACGAAAGCAGGCACAACAATTTATATAATATAAGCAAGGGCGGCGAGATCGTTTGCTTCGCTTGGCGTAGTTAATGAGACAGCCTTTGTTGTTGCTGTGTTCCTCAGGGACGAAATGAGCTTTGTTGTTTGTTTCTCTGGGAGTGTCGCACACGCTCAAACATATGCAAATATCCCATGTGCTGGAGTTTTGATGATCCCAACTTGAAAGAAAGCACGGCAAGAAACATTCATTCGCAGAGCCATGGCAGAGACCCTCCACCCTCAAGCAATCTAAGTCGAAGCTACGGGTGCTTACCCACCTTTGTACATCGTCAATTTCCCTAGGAGGTCTTAATATGAGTAGAAAACAGGAAAATAAGACGGAGCGCAAGAGAACGTGACTGGTCGGCATTGTTAATTTATTGTTCAGCAAATCTCTCAGCTGCGAAATGAACTCAGAGCTTTCCGAAGAAAAACGGCGAGGCAGAGTGGTTATCAACCCAAACGAGGTACAGAAAATTGCCGTTGCATTTGAAGACTTCTTGTTAGAGCAGTGGCGGTCATCTTGTAGCCGAATGTAAGCACTGTCGATTCGACCTTTGAAAATCGCCTGGAAAACTGGCGACAACAGGCGACCGCTTAAAAGATTGAGTCGGCGTTCATCCACAAACTTTCGAACTAAGAATGTACCAACTTAATTCAGGGCTGATGACTCGAGTGAAGGGCGAGAAACCTTCCTCGGTGCCGTCTCTACTGCTACTGCTACTAAATCACGCGTTTGTAATACGAATGTGCAAAGAAAAGATTGGCGGGCAAAAGCCATGACATTCGAATACTGAAATGGTCACATTATTCAGGTGCTAACTCGAGAGTGTTGATAACTTGAGCAAGTCGGCCCATGACATATTCAATGAGATTAAATGTGATTAACAACGGGTTTATCACACCGAAAAGAGACGAGCCTAGCGGGCTTAATGCTTGCAGTGCAAAGCACTTGTGTCTTCTCAGGCCTTAGTTTTACAGGAATTTGTTATTTAAAGCTACGACTTTTAATTTTTATGAATTTCATTCAATTTGATACTTTTTTCGATAACCTTTCGATCTATTTCGAAGAGTTCACACCCTAACGAAACAAACCACAATGTAAGAAACCAAAATATTTGCATGAATCTTGAGCACATTCACAAAAACATCGACATCAACATCAGAATACTTACGTACCCCAGAGAAGTGTACTCCGCGGAAGTATCTGCCATTTTCAAAGCAGTCAGAGCAATAATTGCATGTGTTTCAACCTTCCTCGTCGATCAGGTCCTTGCGTGTAGAGAACTCGCGCGAATATCGGTCTGTCCCGGAAAATTACCGGAAGAAATACCTAGGGGTCTGGAAGAGAGGTTGGTGACCGCTGACTGAAAGACAGGATATTTTAAAGATGGCGCGAAATGTTGGAGAGTGATGTGAACACATAACTAAAAATGGTTTGTCAATCCTTCTAGTTCCCAGCAGTAATCTTTTAACCGGTATTTTGATCATCATAACATATTTTTCTGCAGGATATTCGATCGTTCTTTAGCCCGACTGGAAAGACGACGAAGCAAGGCGCTTCGAAAGTAGAAATTAAGCGCTGGAAGGATCCTACGGCGAAGTCATCATCGAAACAAAATGTTGGAAAGAGCCGATCGAAAAGCAAGGTAAGCAATAGGTAATGAAGCAATTTGAGAGAGAAAATTATTTTTAGCATCAGGGAATTCGACTTCAGAGTTGACGGAGAAACGATCGCCCCGTATCACAGCCCCTGTCTAACTGAACCGATCATGATTTACGATGTGTTTACTCGGGAGCAATTTGCACCCCCTTCACCTAGGGAGTACACCTTATTTCGCCAAAATTGGTATTTGTCGCCATACATGGTAAGATTTTCCTGGTCACGAATTTTTAAATTAACACATGGTACATGTAGGTAACTTCGCAACATGTTTTTAGCCCAAGAGTTTCATTCCACTACATACATCTAATCCAAGATATCTTGCCTAGCTGGAAGCCACTAGTGGCTTTGTGAGAAATGGTATGGTTCCGTGGTATTAACTATCTTTGTAGCTTTACTTTTCAAGGGTCTGTCATTCACTTGAACAAAGCATCACAGAAAGTCAAGACAGACAAACCTTTGACAGTGTGTACATACTATTTGTAACTTGAACTCGTGTTACAACTTTGCACTTGTGTTTCATGGAAACTGCACTCATTTTCAGCCAATCAGATGTGCATGATTTTCTTCAGGTATATTATTGGTGTGAATAAAAATATTATGTAATTGTTACTTTGCTTGGCAGGGTTTATCCAGCAGTGAAGATGATGAAATCACCAGAAAACAAAAACTGAAAAAAACTCAGAAAAAGAAGAAAGGAGGAAACATTATTGACTCAGGTAATTTTTTGGAGTGAACAGTTAAAGTTTAAAAAATAGTAGATTGTGAGATTCCATGCAAGCTGTCACACCATAGTATGATATATTTTATCTTTATGGAAGCCAACCAGTTTTGCTGTTAGTGTCCTTGTCAAAATTAATTCCCAATGCAATTTTTGTTGTTACAGAAACATTTTGGGAAGCTATTTACTGTATGGAGTGGCGGATCTAGGGGAGGGGCCCAGGGCAAAAACAATAAATGTTGGCACAGCTGGTGTACACACACACACACACGCACACGCACACACACAAATATGTCCCCCCCCCCCTCCTTCCACCCCTTAGCTCAAGGTATGGATCCACCACTGGTAATGTACCATATCACAGTCATCTATGGACCAAATTTCTAAACTAATCCTCCATCTCTATTAGATTCTGATGAAGATCCACTTCCTCCAAATATTAGGTATGTGATTACAACAGTTTCTTGATTTTTGTTCCAATTTTTGTACTTGTAATCCAACCCTTTCTCCCCTGGATCATGAATAAAGGAAATGATCAACTAAAAGAAGCTCTTGATTGTTAAATAAATTCTCCTTGCCAACTTCTTAGGATTTGCTGAGAGAACAGCATGGAGAATATGCATACTGATGTCAGGGTGTACAAGTTAAGAGTCATGCTTAGTTTTGTATACTTAAAACCCAGTTCTCTTCCATAAATTTCCTTTTCAGAAAAGCCACATCAGCAAAGAAGGGAGAGAGTGCAAAAGCCAAGAAAAGTAGAAGACCAATCAGCTTAGACTCAGGTAAGGAAATGATGTGTACTTATAAAGGAGGGTACCCAATACTTTTTATGTGAAGGGTGATTGGTAAATTTTATTTTCTCATGAATCGTGATTTTGATTTTTTTGTTTTGGGAATGGCAAGAAAGCCTTTCTGCTCAGAAGTTAGATCTCTTCATTTAGGATTGAGCACACTTACCATTACACCTTTCTGCCTTTAATAAGATTTGAATAATTATTACAACACTTGGGTTATATTTTTATGTGGTATCCTACAGATGAGGAAGAAGTTGTGCCTAAGAAATTAAAACCGTCTGCCAAACAGACAGAAACAAAAGCAACTAAAGAGGTCCAGCAAGTTAAAGATAGGTAGCAATCAGTACTCTTTTTCATTATATTTGATATATTTTAGTACCAAACCCTTGTGTTCATTTAGAACATTGGATATTAGTCTAGCTAGCAGGGCTCGACACTAACTGTAGCCCACTAGCCACAGACTATAGTAGAAATTCCGTTTCGGCCAGTTGTTTTCAATTTCCACTACCCAGTTTGGCTGGTAAATAAACTGAAATTGTCATCAAAATCTAAGATGTCACTAGCCACTTGGCTTAAGTAAGTTGAAAAGTTAGTTTTGAGCCCTGGCTAGGGATTCCTCTGGATTCTTTACAGAATTCTCTAGCTAAATTTTAATTGTACAAGTTTTTTTTTTTTTTCTTTTTTCAGTCTATGTCATCAGAGGTAGAGAATGTTAGACTTGCCTTTGGACACTGCTATCATGCTAACACATTTCGCCCTTTGATCCTTAGGAGTGACCAGCATTTAATTTTTCATTACAATAATAATTATAACCCCTGAATCAGACAGTGAGGTCCCGAGAATGAAAGAAGCTCTTGATCGTTAAATAAATTCTCCTTTCCAGCAACATAGGAAATGTATTGAGAATGGTATGGAGAATATGCATACTGATGTTAGG